AGTGTTTTTGTATTCTTTGGGTAAATACCCAGTAGTGTGATTATTGGATCATATGGTAGTTCTATTTTTAACTTTTTGAGGAACCTCCATACTGTGGCTATACCAGTTTGCATTCCCACTAACAGTGCATGAGGGTTCCTTTTTCTCCACATCCTCACCAACACCTGTTGTTTCTTGTGTTTTTTGATTTTAGTCATTCTGACAGGTGTGAGATGATACACCATTGTAGTTTTGATTTGCATTTCCCATTTCCCTGATGATGAATGATATTGAGCATCTTCATGTATCTGTTGGGCATTTGTATGTCTTCTTTGGAGAAACGTCTGTTCATGTCTTCTTTTTTTTTTTTTTAAGTAGGCTCCACACACCCAGTGTGGAGCCCAATGTGGGGCTTGAACTCATGCCCTGAGATCAAGACCTGAGCCGAGATCAAGAGTTGGACATTTAACCGACTGAGCCACCCAGGCACCCTTGTTCATGTCTTTTGCCCATTTTTTATTTGGATTATTTGGGGGCTTTTTTGGTGTTGCGTTATATAAGTTCTTCTTTATATTTTTTGGCTATTAACCCTTTATCAGATACATTATTTGCAAATATCTTCTCTTCAGTGGGTTGTCTTTTAGTTTTGTTGATAGTTTTCTATGAAGAATTTTTTATTTTGAGGTAGTCCCAATAGTTTATTTTTGCTTTTGTTTCCCTTGTCTCAGGAGACGTATCTAGAAAAATGTTATGGCCAGGGCGCCTGGGTGGCTCAGTCGTTAAGCGTCTGCCTTCGGCTCAGGTCATGATCCCAGGGTCCTGGGATCGAGTCCCACATCAGGCTCCTTGCTCCGCGGGAAGCCTGCTTCTCCCTCTCCCACTCCCCTGCTTGTGTTCCCTCTCTCGCTGTCTTTCTCTCTGTCAATTAAATAAATAAATAAAATCTTTAAAAAAAAAAAAAAAATAGAAAAATGTTATGGCCAGTGTCAGATAAATTACTGCCTGTGCTCTCCTAGGATTTTTATCTTTTCAGGTCTCACATTTAGGTCCTTAATCCATTTTTTTGAAAAAGATTTTATTTATTTGAGGGAGAGAAAGAGGGCACACAAGAGAGAGCACAAGTGGGGAAGGGGGTGGGGTGGAGAGGAGCAGAGCAGAGGGAGAAGCAGACTCCCCACAGAGCAGGGAGCCCAACTCGGGCCTTGATCCCAGGACCCTGGGATCATGACCTGAGCCAAAGGCAGATGCTTAACCGACTGAGCCACCCAGGTGCCCGGTCCTTAATCCATTTGAGTTTATTTTTGTGTATGGTATAAGAAAGTGGTCTGGCTTCATTCTTTTGCATGTAGCTGTCCAGTTTTCCCAACACCGTTTGTTGAAGATACTTTTTCCCATTGCATATTCTTGCCTCCTTTGTTGAAGATTAATTGACCATATAATTGTGGGTTTATTTCTGAGTTTTCTATTTTGTTCCATTGATCGATATATCTATTTTTATGCCAGTACCATACTGTTTTGATTGCTACAACTTTGTAGTATAACTTGAAATCTGGACTTGTGATACCTCCAGCTCTGTTTTTCTTTTTCAAGCTTGCTTTGGCTATTCGGGGTCTTTGTGGTTCCATACAAATTTTATGACTGATTGTTCTAGTTCTGTGGAGAAATACTGTTTGTATTTTGATAGGGATTGCATTAAATTGGCAGATTGCTTTGGGTAGTTTGGACATTTTAACAATATTTATTCTTTCAATCCACGAGCATGGAATATCTTTTCATTTGTTTGTGTTGTCTTCAGTTTCATCAGTGTTTATAGTTTTCAGAGTCGTTTCAGGTCATTCACCTTGGTTAAGTTTATTCCTAGGTATTTTACTATTTTTTGGTGGTGCAGTTGTAAATGGGATTGTTTTCTTAAGTTCTCTTTCTGCTATTTCATTATTAGTATATAGAAATGCAATGGGTTTCTGTACACTGATTTTTGTATCCTGTAACCTTATTGAATTCATTTATCAGTCATAGTTTTTTGGTGGAGTCTTTAGGGTTTTCTATATATGGTACTATGTCATCTGCAAGTGGTGAAAATTTTACTTCTTACCAATGTGGATGCCTTGTATTCATTTTTCTTGTGTGATTGCTGTGGCTAGGACTTCCTATATATATGTATATTTTTTAAGATTTTATTTATTTGACAGAGACACAGTGAGAGAGGGAACACAAGCAGGGCGAGTCGGAGAGGGAGAGGGAGAGCAGGCTTCCCGTGGAGCAGGAAGCCCGATGCGGGGCTCCATCCCAGGACCCTGGGATCATGACCCGAGCCAAAGGCAGACACTCAACGACTGAGCCACCCAGGCGCCCCTCAATACTATATTGAATAGAAATGGTGAGAGTGGACATCCTTGTCTTGTTCCTGACCTTAGAAGAAAAGCTCTCAGTTTTTCACCATTGAGTATGATGTTAGCTGTGGGTTTTTTGTATATGGCCTTTATTATGTTGAGGTATGTTCTCTCTAAACCTACTTCATTGAGGGTTTTTTTTTTTTTAAAGATTTTATTTATTTATTTGAGAGAGAGAATGAGAGATAGAGAGCACGAGAGGGAAGACGGTCAGAGGGAGAAGCAGACTCCCTGCTGAGCAGGGAGCCTGATGTGGGACTTGATCCCGGGACTCCAGGATCATGACCTGAGCCGAAGGCAGTCGCTTAACCAACTGAGCCACCCAGGCACCCCTTCAATGAGGGTTTTTATCATGAATAGATGTTGTACTTTGTCAAATGCTTTTTGTGCATCTACTGAAATGATCATATGGTTTTTATACTTTATCTTACTGACATGATATATATCACATTGATTGATTTGTGAATATTGAACCACCCTTGTATCCCAGGAACAAATCCCACTTGATTGTGGTGAATGATTTTTTAATGTATTGTTGGATTGGGTTTGCTAATATTTTGTTGAAGATTTTTGCATTTGTGTTCATCAGAGATATTGGCCTGTAGTTCTCTATTTTTATAGTATCTTTATCTGGTTTTGATATCAGGGTAATGCTGGCTTCATAGAATGAATGAATTTGGAAGTTTTCCTTTCCTCTTCTATTTTTGGGAATGGTTTGAGAATAGGTATTAACTTTTCTCTAAATGTTTGGTAGAATTCATCTGTGAAGCTCTTTGGTCCTGAACTTTTTGACTGTTGGGAGTTTTTTGATTACTGATTCAATTTCATTGCTGGTAGTCGGTCTGTTCAAATTTTCTATTTCTTCCTGATTCAGTTTTGGGAGGTTATATGTTTCTAGGAATTTATTCATTTCTTCTAGGTTGTCCAGTTTGTTGGCATATAATTTTTCATAACATTCTCTTAACAATCCTTTGTATTTGTGTTGTAGGACTTAGTATTCTTGTAGTCATTTAAATAACTATGTATTATTAGTCTGTCTTTTCCCATAAGCTGTAAGCTTTACCAGGGCAGAAACAGTCTGTTTTGTTCATCATTATATTCCCAGTACCTAGCATATAGGTGCTAAAATACTTGTTGGCATACTATCTCACATATCTAGGATGTGTCTCATATAAAATTTAGAGAGCCATGTTCCTGTTTGGGCTTCCTCATAGCATGCTGGCCAGGTTCTAAGATGCATGGCATTTTTATGACCTAGTTTTGGAAACCATACAGTGTTATTTTTATCATACTTTATTGTTCTTCCCAGGTTCAAGGTGAGGGAATATGGACTTAGCAACTTGAGAGGAGTGGCCACCTCAGCTTCTCCAAATTCCAATCTCGATGTATTCAATTAACCCAGAATGCACTGCCTGTGTACTTTATCTATTTTGGTCTGGCAAGTGATTCCAGGCATAAAGCTAGAGTTATCATAGGGCTCACCTCATTTGTTTTCCTTCTCTCAGGGCTCACAATCCAAAGCAATTCCTGTTGTCCACCATCTAATATCACTTGTTTCATGTATTTTATCCAGTTTTCTAGTTTTGTATGGTGGAGGGGAAAGTTCCACACCAGTACTGCAAGTTAGAGTATGAGTTTTACGCCGAGGATTTCTTCTTTTATGCACTTAATGTACATTTTGGTTTCCAAATGTAAAAATGAAGTCAACTTTGGGCTAGAATTAATAATTTGAGTTCGTTTCAGACCTGTCTCCAACTTACAACATGAAAATCAGCAAATCTCGTTTCTTTGGTTTTCATGCAAACTGAATTGAATATAAATTACCCTGTTCTCAGGGTTACTTCTCAGGCATTCCATAACAAGCAAGTGGAAACAAAAACGAATCACGCTAAATAAAGATGAGGTTATACTTATAGTTATTGACAAAACTTACTTCCCTAACCTTTTTGGTACAAATTCATACTGTAAAGTATAAAGGGGCTGAGAGTGGATAAGACTGGCTGTAATAACCTAGTAATAACTAATTAGTATTGAACCCAAGGAACTGTGTAAGGCTTTTATGTGAATTAACTCACCAAATCCTCATAACAGCCCTATGGGATAGGTACTATACTGCCCTCATTTCACACACGAGAATGAGACCTAGATTGAGCAGCTTGCATAGGGTCACACAGTTCGTAAGTAGCAGTGGCAGAACTGGAAGGATTTGAACCCAAGCCGTGTGAGCTGTGCTCCGAACCGTATGTGACTGTTTGAAAACCACCAGAAATGTGTCAGCTGCTGCTGATATAGAATCATTAGTTATCTTTACATGTAAGAGAGAGTATCATTCCTGGAATCACTTCAACAAATCCTGTTTGTTTAAGTCAATGTGATTGATTTCTTTGGGGAAGCAGAAAGATTGGGCTATAGTTGGAAAATGTGATTTCCTGATAAAAACAAATACCATCAGTGTGGCAGGAAATGGTAGATGATGATGTACAGCAAAACTACCTAGAGAATAGGATAGGAGTGGAGCCCAAAAGTCCCGGTGCGGCTCCATGAGTGTCACAGGTGTTTACTGAATCTCTTCTGTCGGGCAGCTGTTTTGATATTAATAGGTTCTATTATTCTTTTTCTCCCCCTCCTCAGACACATTTAATGAAGCCAGACACCAAAATGCTAACACTCTTTCCTGGAGAGAAAAAGGCTAAGATTTCTTTTACTCAAAGAATTCCACCTACAGGCACTCGGCAGACCAGCATTGCTTCCTTCTTCACCTTGCATCCAGGTATGACGACCTGCCTGGGAATACCCAGGGAGCAGAAAGGAGTGTGTGCATTTTTCCATGCTGGAAAATTTATGAGAAGTGGTGACACCAGTGCATTGTGTTTAACTTAGCTAACTCATTAGAAGAGGATATCAAACAACAAAACATCCCCTTCTGCAAAGCATTATATACATGCTTTTACCAACATTTTCTCATTCTGTGTGCTCAGTCTAATATTAAATATTTGTATTCCCTGACAGAGCAGTGAGGAGAAAGGTATGCTTGGGGAGTTGGGGTGTGCAGGGGAGCTGACCTGCCATTATTTAGGTAAATGTCTTGGATTGGCCATAATGACCAGTCTCTATAGGATTACTTGATAACAGATATTTCTGTATAATGCTTCTCAACTTGTCAGAGTTCAAAATGCTTTTTTTCTTAGAAAGGTTGGCATAAAGTTGGCTTGTGTCTCATCATCCTTTGGCAGTTTTTTGCTTACGTGTCCCTTTTCAGGGAATGAGCTGCCTCAGAGCATGTGTCTGCCAGCTGGAGGGTTTTAGGAGGAGAGCTCTAACCCTTGATGCGATTCCCAGGATTGCTTTGCATAAATCTTCCAAATCTACTGTCCCTGCCCCAAACAGAGACTTAAAATAGGCACCCTTTTGCTTTAAGTAACAAGGGCAGATTTTTTTTCGAGGACACTTCTGATTTCAAAAAAAAAAAAATTTTTTTAAAGTAGGCTTCATGCCCAACATGGAGCCCAACATGGGGCTTGAACTCACGACCCCAAGATCAAGGCCTAGCTGAGATTAAGAGTCGGATGCTTAACAGTCTGAGCCACCCAGTCAACCCCCGCTATTTCAAAATTCTGGTATATTCTATAATCTGTTGGAATTCTTAGGTAAAGTTGAGAAATCTTTCACAAAACAGTTTCTGCAGTATAATTCTTGTTGGAGAAGGAAAAAGGAAATCATTCAGCTTTGTAATTAGATTTTGGTATAATTTGGGGGCGGGGGGAGTGGGTAGTCCACGGTATTCATCCTTAAGGTAGAACAGTATCCATTCCATGCCTGATAAAATGGATAGGCTGGACACTAGTAGTTGTTTATTGTTCTTCCAGTTGGTTGACTTATCATCTAATTGTGTTTATTCCCTTTCCCAGGCAGTGTCTGCAGAGTAGAGGACCTAATGTTCTTTGCACTGTCACCAGAGGGTTTCTTAGAGTTGGATGGTTAATGTGATCTTAGTGACCTTACAAAAATTGTGTTGTGCGTATTTCTCAAAGGATAATATCCAGGAATATATATTTGGGCAAGATCACTATTTAACAGAAACCATATTAAATAAAAAATCAAAACTGACGTGCCCATATACTAAAACACAGTTGGAAAAGTAGGCTGTGGTCTGAGTATACGTACCATGTTTGACTTTATTAGGTAGATCATTTGGAAGCATCCATATATTTGAGGAGCGGAATATAAGGTCTGTGTTTTAGAAGGATCATTCTGGAGAAAGTAGAGATTGCAAGCAAGAAGATCATGGGGCGCCTGGGTGGCTCAGTCAGTTAAGCGTCTGCCTTCAGCTCAGGTCATGATCTCCGGATCCTGGGACTGACGCCCCGCATTGGGCTTCCTGCTCAGTGGGGAGTCTCCTTCTCCCTCTCTGCCCCCCTCCCGTTCTTTCTCTCTCAGATAAATAAATAAAATCTTAAAAAAAAGAAAAAAAAAAGGAAAGCAGGAAGATCAGCTATAAAGGTGTGTGATGAGTCTAAGACCCCTGTGCTAGATAGTGATAGTAGCTGATACTGATTTCAGAAAAAGCCAGCTAAATCCTGCTCGGGGCAGAGATTTCCTGCAGAATAATCATTCATGTCTGTTTTGCTAGGAAAGACAAATGGTGGTGACCAGAGGAGTGTTTCATCTCATATAGAAAGTCAGATCAACAACGAGTCTGAGAAAGATGCAACCCATCTAGATCATCTGATCCAGGGCTTGGAGGACGATTGTATGTCACCCCCATTAGCCACTTCAACCCCTGCAGATATCCAGGAAGCTGGACGTTCTCCTCATTCCCTCCAGGCTTCTGACCACCACAGAATGGGAACTCCATTTTTGACTATGCTGTCTTTGCCCCAGCCTGACACCTTGGTCTGTGCTGGAAAGAGTAAAGCCTCAATCTCTTGTTCCTTCACTCAGAACTTGGAATCCGGTTCTTACTTGCTGGACCAAAAGGAAGGAGAGAAAGACTCTTCCTGGAAAAGGGAATGGCTTCATGGATCTAAGGAAAAAAACCATCAGGATGTGGAGAGACGCGTTCAACCACCTGGGGGCAAGGGCCTTCAGCCCCTGGACAAGATTAAATTGGAAAAGGTGTCTGCCAGAGAAACCAGGCAGGCCCCCATCCTCCTTCAAACATGCAGGGATTCCTGGAATGGAGAAAACACAGACTCAGTGAAACAAAGCCCTTGTCCTGTCCCTGCGTTTTCCTGGGACAGTGAAAAGAATGACAAGGACTCCTGGAGTCAGCTTTTCACTGAGGATTCTCAGGGCCAGCGGGTCATTGCCCACAACTCCAGAGCTCCTTTCCGAGATGTAACAAACAATCAGAATCGGGGCTTACGGCAGTTTCATAATAGCTCTTGGGCTCGGTGCCAGGAGAGGCCCACTCAGTTAAATCTGCAGCCTGATTTGCTCTTTACCCAGGACTCTGAAGGTAATCAAGTTATCAGGCACCAAGTCTAAATGTCTGTATGATGGTTGGTTCCAAAAGTACCTTGAGATGACAAAGCTATAGGAAAATATTGGGCAGAGAGATGGGAAGGGAGGCAAGGGATGACGTTATTACTGAGCACTTTCGTTGTGTAAATAAAGCAGGAGGTGCCACTTGTTGAGACTGTATGATTGACATTGTGCCTCTCCCCGAGGAAGAGGTGGCTGGTAACCTTGTACAAGTCTGTGATGAGCACTGAGGAGGTAGGGCAGGTAATTATCCTTCCAGTAAAGAGCCCTTACTCAGCCTGCAAAGCCACCTCTTTGCCCTTTCAGATGTCTGACTAGGACACTGCTTCTTATGGATGTGTGTTCTAATTTCTGGCTGTTATCTTAACCACACAACCTTGGGACCATTATTCCTGACACCTTTTTGAGTGATAAGGCACATCCTCCTGGGTCTAGAGATAGGGGAGCAGGGAGGATAGAGAGATAAATAGAAAGTAGAATGATGATGGTAGGGTGTTTTTGTTTTAAAGTAGGCTCCATGCCCAGTGTGGAGCCCAATACAGCTTGAATTCATGACCCTGAGATCAAGACCTGAGCTGAGATCGAGTCAGACGCTTAACCAACTGAGCCACCCAAGCACCCCAATGGTAGGTTTTTTTTTTTTAAAAACTGTTATTTTATTTTTGTGGGGACTTGATAGCATTTTAAAGTCTTATATTCTGTGTTTAAACTTCTCTCTAAAAAAAAAAAGCCTTGCTGGGGCCCCTGGGTGGCTCAGTTGGTTAAGCGTCTGCCTTCAGCACACGTCATGATCTCAGGGTCCTGGGATTGAGCCCTGCATCGGGCTCCCTGCTCAGTGGAGAGTCTCCCTCTCCCTCTGCCCCTCCCCACTCCCCATTTGTGCTCTCTTTCTCTCTCAAATAAATAAAATCTTTAAAAAAAAATTTTTTAAAAAGCCTGTGCTTTAAAAAAAAAAAAAAAGCCTGAGGCTATATAGCAATCTAGCTGTGATGATATCAATCTTCTACAAGGTGTGAGAACTCCTTTTGTAAAACTATGAATCCAAATAAACGGCTGTTTACAAAGCTGACTCTGATGGTAATTAAAACATTACCATTTTATTTCTGAAAATGCAACTTTTTAATAGTTAATATGTTATATCATTGCCATGGGTCCCATCTTAACACCCGTGTCTATCCAAGATGTTATCCACCAGGTGGCAGTTTCCCATGTTGCAGGTGTGCTACTTTAAGAGGCTTAAATAGCCTCTAGGGGGCAAGTGTGCAAGTTTTAAGATGGAACTACTTAAGAGTTTAGGGTAAAATCCCTACAGAAAGGGAAAAGAGGCTCCCTACGGAAGTTTTCTTTTATGTAGGCGGGACTTTATAAGAAAAGAGGGGAAGCCAGGAACTGTTTATGAAAGTTCACATACCTTAAAATTAACAGGAACCCTATACTCATGATACCAGGTGGTTACAGCGCAGAGACAAACAGCACATGCAGCATCTCTCCATATCCTTCATTTAATATCAGGTAGTGCTTCAACCCAAACACACACAGGATACATACCGTAGAGAAAGGGACCTGAGGGCTTCTGAGTCATGCATGGTGTGGTAGGTACAAACCTTGGCCCAGTGCAAAGGAGCAGTCAAGGGCCTGGAAGAAGGATGGTGCTCTGTTTCTCCTTCCCATTTCTCTTTCCTACTGGGCTTAAGCTAAAGTCCATGGAAGAGAAAGCATTTTCAATCAGTGGAACCATGAGGCCCCACGGCCTGGGAGGGTAGATTTGGTTGTACAGTATTACAAAATATATTTAAGAAAAAAGCCCAGGCCTCCCAGCAGCAGCCCGTGTCAGCTGGTCCAGAGGTCTGACCTCTACATCTAGGGACAGGAAAGAGGGAGAGGGTGATTGCTGGGCACTGGTGTCAGTTTATGATGGAGCAGCATAAGATTTTCCCTGCCCTGTCAACACATATAAACATTTATAGCCCCTCAGCCCTCAGCCCTGCTCTGCTGCAAGGAAGCCGCTGAGAGTGACAGCTGGGCACAAAGTGTCCGGTGAGACCAGTTATGGGGTCTAATGCAGTGAAGTAAGCCATTCATTTAGGACCTATTTTCACACACAGGCAAGGAAAAACCCAACTTCTGTCTCACCCTTTGGACGGAGACATTCCAACCTATACATTTACCTGTAACAAGTGTCTTGGTGCAAAACAGGCCTTAGCTTCTGCTAAGGTTTAAAGCAAAGGAAGCATGATCCAACTTTTTCTCTTTCAGTCCAAGCTCTAGCTTTCGGCAAGACTGTTGCAAAAGATTTCTGAGAGGCAAAAAGGTCTGTGGTGAGGAAGGCAGCTATTGAAGGAATTCCAGGAGCATGAGACTGAATTTGCAGAGCTGAGTTCTGTCAGTTTCCTTTTCTACTAATATCTTCTTCCTTCAGAGCAAACTTCCTCCTTAGGACCTCAGAGATAAGGACAGCCGGGTCTTCCTCCTTCAATAAACTCCGGTTCCTGGAGACAAAATAACAGCTTGTATTTATGAAGTACTTGCTCTTGGGCAGTGTTTTGTGTCTTTGAATACATTATCTCATTTAGTCCTCACAACAATCTTACCAAGAAGTCTTTTCAGATGAGGAAACGGAAACAGAAGAGTTCTACAGTTTGCCCAAAGTCAATAGGCGCTCAGCCAGTAAGTAGCAAATCCAGAGTCTAAAACCAAGCTAGCTGGTTTCTTAACTAGAATGCTTTACTATTTCCTGAAATGGCTATAAAATGTGGGCAAGAGTAAAGGACTATCAACCAGTTAAGAGTTGGCCTACTGTAGCTAAGCTTCTGCTCCCACCTTCTGTTGCTGTCTTTTCTTACTAGCATTTCCCCAGGTCAGCAGGGGAAGTGACTGCAGATATGGCTATTCTGACCTTTATTATTAGTTCTGGGGAAAAGGTGTGCTGAGGATTTCCTACAACCTTGTCTGCTCATCAGAGGAGCTCTGAGATGTTTTTAATTGGAAACACATAGGTACAACCTTTTTTTTTTTTAATTAAAAAAAAGTTTTAAATTTCTTTTTTACCTTTTGACACCCTTCACCTATTTCCCCCATTCCCACCCCCAGCCTCTGGCAAGCACCAATCTGTTCTTTGTTATCTACAAGCTTGGTTTTTTGTTGTTTTGTTTTAATTTAGATTCACATATGTGATCGTATAGTTTTCTGTCTGGCTTATTTCACTTAGCATAATGCCCTCTAGTCATTATATTGTTACAAATGGCAAGATGCCTGGGTGGCTCAGTTGGTTAAGTGTCTGCCTTCTGCTCAGGTCATGATCCCAGCATCCTGGGATTGAGTCCCACATCAGGCTCCTTGCTCAGCAAGGAGCCTGCTTCTTCCTCTGCCTGCCGCTCCCCTTGTCTGTGCTCTCTTTGACAAATAAATAAAATCTTAAAAAAAAAAAAAAAAGATGGGGGGGGAAGAGCAGAGGGAAAGGAAAGAGAATCTTAGGGAGGCTCCATGCCGCACAGAGCCCAAGACAGGGCTCATCACACAACCCTGAGATCATGAGCTGAGATGAAATCAAGAGTCAAAGGCTTAACCCAACTGAGCCACCCAGGTGCCCCCAACCTTTTTTTTTTTTTTTTAGAGAGGGGGAGAGAGAGGGAGGCAAATGGCAAGATTTCAGTCTTTTTTTAAGGCTGAATAACATTCCATTCTGTATATATACCACAATTTCTTTATCCATTCATCCCCTGATGGACACTTAGTTTTTTCCATATCTTGGCTATTGTAAATAATGTTGCAGTGAATATGGGGGTGCATCTATCTTCTCAAGTTAGTGTTTTTGTATAATACCCAGAAGTGGAATTGCTGGGTCATATGGTAGGTTTTTGGGTGGGGGGGAGGGGGAGAGAGAGACTCTTAAGCAGGTTCCATGCCCATTCTCAAGACCCTGAAATCATGACCTGAGCTGAAATCAAGAGTCAGATGCTTAACCAACTGAGCCACCCAGGCACCCCTCATGTGGTAGTTCTATTTAATTTTTTGAGGAGAGCCTGCATACTGTTTTCCATAGTGTGTGCACCAATTTACATTCCTATCCATAGTCACAAGGGTTCCCTTTTCTCCGCATCCTTGCCAATACTTATTTTTTATCTTTTTGATGATAACAGGTGTGGGGTGAAATTTGTGGTTTTGATTTGCATTTCTCTGATGATTAGTGATGTTCAGCATCTTTTCATGTGCCTATTGGTCATCTATATGTCTCCTCTGGAAAAATATCTGAGTCCTATACCCATTTTTTTAATCAGACTGGGTTTTTGGTCTTTTCATTTCTTGCTATTGAGTTGTATGAGTTCTTTATATATTTTGGATATTAACCCTTATTGGATATATGATTTGCAAATATTTTCTCCCATGCAACAGGTTATGTTTTCATTTTGCTGATGGCTTCCTTTGCTGTGCAGAAGCTTTTTACTTTGATATAGTCCCACTTGTTTATTTTTGCTTGTGTTGCTTTTAGTGTCTGGTTGAAAATGTATCATTGCCATGACCTATGTCAAGGAGCTTACTGCCTGTGTAAGATAGTGGTTGAGATACATTTGTATGTGGCTGTCCAGTTTTCCTAGCACCATTTATGGAAGAGACTGTCTTTTCCCTACTGTATGTTCCTGGGTCCTTTGTTGGAAACTGACCATATATGCGTGGGTTTATTTCTGGGCTCTGTTGTGCTCCAAAGATTTGTTTTTATGCTAATACCATTTTGTTTTAATTACTACAGTTTTGTAATAGAGTTTGAAATTAGGGAGTGTGATGCCTTCAGTGTTGTTCTTTCTCAAGATTGCTTTGGCTATTTGGGGTCTTTGGGGTTCCATACAAATTTTAGGGATACTTTCTTCTAGTTCTGTAAAGAATGCCATTGGACTTTTGATAGCATTTGCATTGAATCTGTAGGCTGCTTTGGGTAGTATGGATATTTTTACAATATTTTTACAATCCATGAGCATGGAATATTTGTTTCCTTTAATTTCCTTCCTTGATGTCTTGTAGTTTTCAGTATACAGCTCTTTCACGTCCTTAATTTTTATCTTAGGTATTCTGTTCTTTTGATGAAATTGTAAATGGGGTTGCTAATTTCTCTGATAGTCTGTCAGTAGCGTATAGAAACACAACTGATTTTTACTTATTTTGTATCCTGCAACGTTACTGAATTCCTTTATTCCAACAATTTTTTTGAGTTTTTAGGGTTTTCTGTATATCACGTCATCTGCAAATAGTGAGTTTTACTTCTTCCTTCCCAGTTTGGATGCCTGTTCTTTTTCTTTTTTTTTTTTGCCTAATTGCTCAGGCTAGGACTTCCAATATTATGTTGACTAAAGTGGCGAATGGGCATCTTTTTCTTATTCCTCATCTTAGAGGAAAAGCTTTCAGCTTTTACCATTGAGTGTGATGTTAGCTGTGGGCTTGTCATATCTGGCCTTTATTATTATGTTAA